ACAGAATCTCTGGCCAGTTATTCACTGCCAACATATGGCTGGGGTAGTTGACCAATTTATTCTGTCCTCCGTCCTCTGTTACAGTAGCAGGTGTCCTCTGCAGGCTCCAGTGTGCTACCATATCCTCTGTGTGCACCTGGATATATCCACTGCTCTAAGCCACTGAGGGAGGCCCAGCTCTGACACATGCACTGCACAGTCAGACCGTGGAACGTGCAATACTCTCCATGGTTGGAGTTCTGAATCCAGTGGTTCAGTTGGGGGGATCCCCAGAGAAACTTCGCCTGAGGTGATCCCAGACCTGATTCTTGTGTGTGCATGCCAAGAGTCTGGCACAGTCCACGGACCCAATCAGCATACCCGCACACTGGTTGTTGCAATTGCTGGGTAAGTTCTGTCTCCGGCCCTGTCTTCTACGCTAACCAATTTAAAAAACAATTTTAAATTTTAAAAGTATGTGTTTCTAATTATTTTAACATGATTTTAAAAAATTCAATATTGAGACTCTAACATTTTGATGGAACTGTCCTTTAGTTTTTAGAAAAAAGTCCCATCTCAAGCTACTTTCCCTTGCTTGGTAGTCTGAAATGTTCGTGGGCGTCTGTCGCCATCTAGTGGACAATATGCATGTGAGCTCTGACGTGAGAAGACCTTTGGTATATGTGACCAGTGGGAAAGGAATGCCTGGAATATAAAACTGAAATGATAGTCTAGGCTGTTGCAAATGAAGTCAAATTTTATTTTCAATTTAGATGAATTGCAAATAATGATGATAGAGTTAAAGTAAAATGTTCTCAGATCCTTCTAGAATCCTTCAACTCCATAGCAATATAAATAACACTTTTTAAACATCTTTAGCACCACAAACCAATCATAGTAAAACTGTTTATGCAGTTATCTCACTTAAATGGTAGACAACATTAGGTAACACCTAAGCTGTGTATTATCAAAACAACATACACTTATAAATAAATATGTGTGATACTTACGTGTATTAACAATTAAAAAATCTTTTTCTATTTATTTATGTGAAAGTGTGACAGAGAGATAAGGAGAAGGAGATTGTCCATCCACTGGTTCACTTGTGGAATGACTACCTGAGCAGGAAATAGGCCAGGATGAGTAGGGACCTGCGTACTTGGCCATGGGAGCAGTAAGGACCAAAGGACTTACTCCATCACCTACGACCTCCCAGGATGTGTACTGCTTGAAGCTGGAGTCACGAGTGGAACGGAGATGCGACAAGCCAGGTGCTGTGGCAGAGAATGCTGGCTTCCCAACTGGCACCTTAACTGTGACACTAGATGCCCACCCCTCTGTCTGCTGCTTTTTTTTTTTTAAGATTTATTTTTATTATTTAAAAAAATATTTATTTTTATTATGTTTTTATTGGAAACGCAGATATACAGAGAGGAGAGACAGAGAGAAAGATCTTCCGTTCAATGATTCACTCCCCAAGTGAGCGCAACGGCCAATGCTATGCCAATCCGAAGCCAGGAGCCTCTTCTGGGTCTCCCACACGGGTGCAGGGTCCCAAAGCTTTGGGCCGTCCTCGACTGCCTTCCCGGGCCACAGGCAGGGAGCTGGAAGGGAAGTGGGGCTGCCGGGATTAGAACCTGCGTTCATATGGGATCCCGGGTGTGCAAGGCGAGGACCTTAACCACTTGCGCCACCGCGCCGGGCCCATGTCTGCTGCCTTTTATATTCTAAAATATATTCTGAAAGGCAAGCCATTCCAATTAAGATTGTAAATTCTCAGAAGAAGAGCAAGGACATCTGAAAAGTTCTTTGCCGTGATGGTACACTTGATCTTAGCCAAAAGGCCAAGAAGCGATCCTTGCCGTGATGATAAGGGTGCTGTTGTTACTTTGGGGGCCACCCCAGCATAAATGGTCAGGTGGCACTCCCTGCCCGGGGCCCTTTGTGTTTTGCTACTGTGGTTTTAACCTGGAGTAGCAGGCTGAGATCCCAAGGAGCAAACTGTCAGAGAGATCAGAGCCCTCTGTCCCACTGTCACTGGTCGCCTCCATTAGTCCACTTGCAGGACCACAGAGAAGGGTTTCGGCTGGCTGGCAGCCAGCTCACTGGCATGGTATGCAAACCTATTGTCATACTTACCTTCCTCTCTCCAGATTGGAGGCTTGCAGAAAGTGTTACACACCAGAGCTCTCATCTGATACTTTGAAAAGTGAAGCATTCTGGGCCCAGTGCAATGAGTCAGTGGCTAATCTTCCCCCTTCAAGTGCCGGTGTCCCATATGGGCACCGGTTCTAATCCCGGTGGCTCCAGTTCCCATCTAGCTCCCTGTTTGTGGCCTGGGAAGGCAGTTGAGGACAGCCCAAAGCCATGGGACCCTGCACCTGCGTGGGAGACTTGAAAGAAGCTCTGGCATCTGGCTTTGGATTGGCTTGGCTCTGGCCATTGTGGTCACTTGGGGGAATTAACCAACAGGTGGAAGATCTTTCTCTCTGTCCCTCATTCTCTCTGTATATCTGACTTTCCAATAAAATAAAATAAACATTTTTTAAAAGCCCAGTCTGTATTCCCAGTTTCATAGACAACAGCCTGCCCAGTCGAGGTCCAGGAAAGAGAATACCCTCGTCAGCTCCAGGTGTTCTTCAGGAAGCAGAAGACTTCACCAGTTTCCAGAAGGAGGAGAAGGTGACGAGGCCCTCACTGGTGGCCCTGCTGTGTCTTCTTGCTCTGGCTCTGTCCTGGGTTGTCCCATGAAGCTGCAGGGGGGGTGGATGGGACTGCCGGAGAGTCTCCAGGTGCTGGTGAAGCTTTACACTCTGAGGCAAATGAAGAGAATGGGCTGAGCTCAGCAGGGCTCCACCATGACTTTTCACCTGTAGAAATCATTCTAGGACTGTTTGTGTCATTGAAATCTTTTGCACTTTTTTTTTTTTGTCTGAAGAAGGGAAAGGAGAAAGCAAAGCTCTTCTAAAAGAAACTAGATTGGGCCCGGCACGGTGGCACAGTGGTTAAGGTCCTCACCTTGCACGCCCAGGATCCCATATGGGCGCCGGTTCTTATCCTGGCAGCCCCACTTCCTTTCCAGCTCCCTGCCTGTGGCCCGGGAAGGCAGTCGAGGACAGCCCAAAGCTTTGGGACCCTGCACCCGTGTGGGAGACCCGGAAGAGGCTCCTGGCTTTGGATGGGCATAGCATTGGCCGTTGCGCTCACTTGGGGAGTGAATCATTGAACGGAAGATCTTCCTCTCTGTCTCTCCTCTCTGCATATCAGCCTTTCCAATAAACAAATAATAAAAATAAAAAAACTTTTAAAAGAAACTAGATCAATCCATCTCAGCTCTCTGATGCCTTTATTGGGACAGCTCAGCATCAGTAACTTATTAACTGGTCCTTTCACATGTGATGCTGTGAAAGCCTCCTGAGCCTTGGGGACATTGTTGAGTATATACCGGTCAGTTCCCTTTGTGAATATATTGGAAACAGCAGTATGTCAGGTGTCAGGGGTTCTAAAAGTGCGGTGACTCTGTCTTACTCAATTCAGATTGCTATAACAGATTATCATGGATTGGATAGTTTAGCAATGTCAGAATGTTCTTTCTCACAGCTCTGAAGATTGAATTCCAAGACGAGATTACAGTGCATTCCTTGTACCATGAGGACCAGTTTCTGGGGTTAGAGAAAGCTGTGGTGCACGGGAGCCTCACATGGCAAGAGGAAGTGAACTTTCTGTGCCAGTTTCGGTAAAGACACTGACCCATGGCAGAGCCCTTGGAACCTCACTACCCCCCTAATGTCCCAGTTCCTATTCATCATGGATGTTAACATTTCAACATGTGAATTCTGTTGCGACACATTCAGTCTATAGTAACTTCCAATAGTCCAAAAGTGCAAATGTCTCATGTCCATTGTGTGTGCAGGACACACATAAAATGGAGAATTCTTCGGTCTTATCCGAAGGGCTAGCCTTGTGGTGGAGTGGGTTGAGTGGCTTCCTAATACCTATGTTACATAGGAGCACAGATCCAAGTTCCAGCTACTCTGCTTGGGATCTAGACACCTGTTAATGTGCCTGGGAAAGCAAAGGAAGCTGGCCCAAACACTTGGGCCCTGGCACACATATGGGAAAACCCGGATGGAGTTTCTGGCTTCCTGGCCCAATCTTGGTTACTGTAGCCTTTTTGGGAGGTAAACCAATGGACAGAAACTCTCCCTCTCTCTCAATCTGTTATTCTGTATATAAATATATATAAATATTTAATTCTTTGGTAAATATAGATATATACATATATATGCATACTTTGATATACATATACTTACTGAATAATTAAATATTGCAAGTAAAAACAACTTAATCGGGGCCTGGCGCAGTGGCCTAGTGGCTAAAGTCCTCGCCTTGAACGCACAAGGATCCCATATGGACGGCGATTCTAACCCCAGCAGCCCCACTTCTCATCCACCTCCCTGCTTGTGGCCAGGGAAAGCAGTCAACGATGGCCCAAAGCCTTGGGACTATGTGACCTGTGTGGGAGACCCGGAAGAGACTCCAGGCTCCTGGCTTCAGATGGGTGCAGCACCAGCTGTTGCAGTCACTTGGGGAGTGAATCATCAGATGGGTGATCTTCCTCTCTGTTTCTCCTCCTCCTCTCTGTATATCTGACTTTGCAATAAAAAACAAACAAGCAAACAATTTAACCAAAAACTCAATGTTCTCAGTGTGAACGCTGTTCTCAAGTTGTTTAAGCACAGAGCTATTTGAGAGACCTACGAGATAACCAGGTGCTATTGTTATTATTGGTTGTTTTCTAGGGGCCAGAATGTCCACAGCCCTTGGAGGCAGGGCCAACTGTCTCTACAGTGCCAGAAGCACCCCGTTTCCCCTTCTTCCTCCTGTGTATTTTGGAGACGTTTTGTTTGCTGTGTTCATGACATTATTGGCTTCATGCTAACATTTTTTTTTTTGTAACAAGCAGAAACATTTCCTCTGATCATATTTTATTTATTTATTTTTTGAACAATAATCTTACGACTTTATTCAATTTGTAACAAAGCTGAGAATGAAGATTAGAACTGGAGCACTTGGCCCTTTCTCTTCTTATCTCCTCCCAGTTCAAAATGTTTACATCTCTTAATAGCCAGCATTCTCTTGGATCTGCAATTGGGCTCCACACACTCAAGCCTCAGCACAATCTTCTTTGTAGTTTTAGCCTGTTTCCGGAAAATAGGCTTAGTCTGCCCACCATAGCCACACTGCTTCCTATCATAACGCCGTTTCCCCTGGGCATAGAGGGAGTCTTTGTCCTTCTTATACTGTGTTATTTTGTGGGGCTGGTGCATGCCACACTTCTTGCAGAAGGTCTGGCGCGTTTTAGGAACGTTCACCATGTTTGCGGAACGATACCGGCACGAAAAGCCTCTGATCATATTTTAAGCCAATGGTTTTCTGTTGACGTGAAGAGGGCACCTTGAACTTACTGGATATTCATCTTCACACCCTGACCTCCACCTGGGCCTCTCATGTCCATGGCAAGAATGTGGGCTGCATTCCAGCGCTGTCATATTCTGTATTCCAGCACTGTCAAAGGCTGTATTCTACCTCTGTCATGGCACCTATGCAGAGAGCTGAATCAGTAGCAGAGCAGCCTGGGCACTGATCGCATATTGATCCTGACTTTGGCATCACAGTAGGCTGTTTAGTCATCTGTGCCTCAGTCCTTGCCCTCTCCTCAGCCCTTTACCAGGGGCACCTTATCCTATTCAGAAAGACAAGATGGTCATGGTTTCATAACCTCCCACAGGCCCCTCCTCCCCATCTATTGCATCAGGGATACTTTGAGCCCGAACTTTTGTAGGAAAGAAATCTTCCCATCATAGTGGAGACTGTGGGGTCATTCTGAAGAGGAATTTGGGCATACAGATCCAGAGGGCCCCTTAGCAAGGAGCTTGGACGGAATGTGTCCATTGCTTTATGGATCTCCAATTATCTCCCCAATGTCTGTGTGTAACTTAAGGTGCTTCTTCGCTGGATATGAATCAGTGTGGAGATTCCCAACATTCTTTTCCCTCCTTCTCCTACTATGCACACTCTCTCATGGCCCTGATGTTGGCATGATGAATGTTCATTGGTGATAGGCACATAAATGACCCAGTATGTATGCCGATGTGCTCTGGTGTTTTATAACTCATTGGTGGGGAGACAGATCAACTGGTGGTACATGTCTATATCTTTACCAGTCAAATTCTCCTGCAGGAAAGCAAAAATCTTTTAATTGTATTGTAACCAGGCATACGACTGTTGTGGGGGTGTAAAAGAGATCATGCCAGACAAGTCTAGAATGTATTAAGGAGTCTTTATTAACCAAGCTTGGTGATAACAGACCCCACTAGAAATTAGCAAATGACAAGTCCATGTGGCAATCCTGTCTGAATTGAAACCCCGAGAGACCCAAATGGTCATAACCATGAAGTCTGTCTATTAAACCGAAGATTTTTGTTCCAGCTTCCCCAGCAATATAAATTATCCTAAGAGACGTGCAGCAAACAACCTGGACACACAAAGCTGCAAACATTCACCTTTTCTGTTAACATTGCAGGACTGTTAGGACTCACCTCTCCCAGGGCTTCTGAATGTGCACAAATTAGAAATGTGAAATGTAGCTTGCAGACAGCCAGTCTGACCATTGCCTCAACAATTGTAGGTTGAGAAATGGAGTGAAAGACCACAATTAAGGAACTGACACTGTATCATACCAGGAAAAAAAAAAAAGAGAAGAAAACATCTTAAAAGATGTAACTCCATAAAAACCCAACCTATTTGATCTTTGATAGTCTAAGCTCCATGACGGTACCTGTCATGGAAAATGCCCAGCATAGGTAAACACAGGTATGCACAGTTGCCCATTGCCATCACTGGCCAATAGTTTAAATCAGTATAGTACCCAAATAATCAGTTTTTATTTTTTTGTGAAATACAGACAGACACACCCGTTCTCACAGATGGCTAAATGCCTACAACACACAGGCGTGGGCTTGGCTGCAGTCAAGGTCTGGCAACTCCATCCGCATCTCTCCCACTGATGCAATCCTCACCATTTGCAGAAAGCTGGTCTCAGAACGGCAGCTGGGATTCCAACCCAAGCCCGTAATGTACAATGCGGCTGTCCCAAACGCAATCTTTCAAATGATTAAATGCATCTTAAGTAAAAAAAAAAAGAGGGGGGCGGGCATCTGTCGAGTTTGAAAACATCAGGATTGTTATGGAGGAAACGAATGAAAAGCCAGTCAACGTTTCAGAGCAGTACGGGTAAACCACACAAATGTGACAAACTATGAGAGGAGGGACAGGCCAGGCGAGTCTCCACTCGGGATCAGCCCACAGCTCACGGGGCTTCCGCCCCGCCACCGGAGGCTTCACGGCTGCACGCCAGTCAAACGCCGCGAGGCCCCTCATTGGGTCCCTTCCAACGGGCGTCCAATCGCAGGCGTCCGACAGGAGACGCTCACTCGGCGCGCCGGAAGTGCACACACGGGACCCGCCTTCCTGATGCTTGTGGCTGACCGTGTCTCCCTCGAGAAGTGTGCTCTGGTGATTCACCAGCGTGGGGAGCGGGTTGGCTGCCGGGGGACGAGTGAAAGGCCGACATGGACAGCCGCTTGCAGGAGATCCGCGAGCGGCAGAAGCTACGGCGACAGCTCCTCGCACAGCAGGTGCGCGCCGCCCTTTCCCTCCCGCTGCCCACACTTCTCGGGCCTCCCTGTTGAGGCGGCCCCGGGCCCGCCGGCTCGGCTTCCGGCTCCGTGTGCTGCTGCACGGGACGGGGCTCCGGGAGGAGGACGTTGGCCCAGTCGCCGCAGGTCGTGGCGGCCCCGGCGGCTCGTCCCGCAGGTGTCCGCGATCCGTGCCCGTGCGCACAGGGGTTTCTCTAGGACCGTTTCTCGTGTTAAGTAGCGGTGATGTTTGAGATGCCGCGTCCTGCGTGGGCACGGTGGCCTCTTCCACAGTTGGTATGGACATTTAGTCGCGATCACCTCTCGGACTGCAGGTTATTTCCATCCTCATCCCTGCAATAATGGACTGTACTTCAAAGGTTACTTAGGTCATGGTAGCCCGGGGCACCCACCCCTCTGCGTTTCTTTCAACAAAGCTGACCTTGTTTTTTTTTTTTTTTTTTTTTAGTAAGTGGGTACCTGCCCTCTGCCCTCTTTTATGATCTGAGACAAGATTTGTGGCATCCTGCTGAAATCATATCTGTCCCTTGTACCTGAGGTAGTGCCTTGTTGGACAAACCAGTTTTCCTTTTAGGCGACTTTTGTTTTAACTCTTTTTAGCTACTTTTATTATCTTTTTTTTTTTTTTGCCACCAGCTAAGATGTTTCACTGACACATTTTGAACTTAAATCTTCATTGAACTTTAAATACCTTCATGGAATGCTTTTTCAGTTTACACTGAAGAAATGTACTGACACTCCAGTAGGTGCTGACGATCGAGCTACAAATAATAGATATTTTTGCCTTCAAGTGTGTTAGGTTGAATATTGCCATTCATTCAATCTCTTCTTGAACCATGCAAGTCAGGTGATGAGAATTTAGAGGTGACAAGGTCATGTCATGGGTCAGTTTGCAGAATTATGCTTTAGGCACAAAGTTTTTTTTTTTTTTAATTCTGTTTACTTATTGGAAAGGCAGAGAGAGTTAGAGAGAAGAAAGGGAGAGACAGGAAAAAAAGAGAGATCTTCCATCTGTGGGTTCATATCCCAAATGACTATGACAGCTAAGGCTTGGCCAGGCTGAAACGAGGAGTTAGAACATTCTTCTGGGTCTCCCACATGGGTGCAGGGGCCTAAGTACTCGGGCCATCCTCTGCTGCTCTTCCAGGTTCATTAGCAGGAATTCCATTGGAAGAGGAGCAGCCAGGACTTGAGCTGGTGCCCATATGGTATCCCAGCACTGCAGATGGCCACAATTCTGGCCCTACAAAGTAAGCTTTTAGTGAACATTTGTTAATTGACAAAATACTTGAGTATATAGCAATGTGTGTGTCTTACCTGGTTTGTTTTTGTTGGGTGAGTAAGTCGGATGTGGTAACTCCCAGATAATGCTGTTGATTGACTAGTGGCTTATTCCTACTAAGAAAATGGCTTATCTATTTATTCACCTGAAAGGCAGGGTGACAGAGAAAGGGAGACAGGAATCTGCCATCTGCTGCGGCAGCCCAGGCTGTAGCAGGAGCCGGACCTCTGTGCAGGTCTCCCACAAGGTTTGAGGCAGTCATCTGCTGCCTTCCCGGGGGCCTTAAGAGGCAGCTGAATTGGAAGCCAATCAAAGGGACCTGAACCACCAGTCTTGTATGAAGTGCTAGCATTGCAATTGGGAGCTTAACTTACTGAACCCACCACATCAGCCCCCTATCTGTTATTTTAACTTGTAGTTTTGTTCCAAAAAATTAGATATGCCTGTCCTATGAAGCAACACATAATGTATTTAGTTAGTTCCACCGTAATGGAGCTGCAATGATCCAGTCTTTTCACAATTATAAATTGTTGCAGAGTAGTGGCAAGGATGTTCAGGTTCTGTATTGGAGTGCCTGAGTTTGATTCCTGATTCTGACTCTTAGCTCTGGCTTCCTGCTAGTGTAGACCGGGGAAGCAGCAGTGATAACTCAAGTGGTTGGACTTCTGCGGACCATGTCAGCAGGGTTGAATCCCTGGCTCCCAGTGCAAGCTTGACCCAGACCTGGGCACTGGGGGCATTTAGAAGTAAAACTGCAGAGAGATGGGACTGTACTTCCTCTGTATTTCCTGCCTCGTGAATAAATTAAAACACTGAAGCTTTTTTTTTTTTTAACTTTAAAACAGTTCTCTGGTCATACATCGTATGCTAGTTTAGCATTTATGTCTGTGAGTCAGGCTGGAGAACATATGTAACAGGGCAGACATAATTAGGGAGTTGAGAGTTTATTGGAAGGAAGTGAACGAAAACAAACTGGTAAAACAATTGAATTACAAGTGAAATAATTGGACGTTATCATAGAAACTATTGAAAAAGTAACACAAATAGAAAATAAAAGATAAACTAATAGAAATGAAATAAATTTTTAAAAATCTGAAAAATGTTGAATGGAAGGGGCTGCCTAACCTACATATACTAACCATGGAGGAATTATCTTTGAAGAAATAAATTGCCCTTACCTGAGATATAAGAAAAAATTGACATAGGAAAGAAGTTAGAAAGCCTTCCAGTGGTAGCAATAGATGTGTTGTCTGCTGAGGGAAGAAAAGAAAAAGGGTCCGGAAGAATATAGGGAGGAGTTGAAGTCCATTAGAAGGGATTTGTCACTGGACAGAACGGAGGTGAGTCACTGGAAGTGAGAGGTTACCTGTCCAGCCTAGTAGCTTCAGTACGCCTTCACCCTGCGCCTGAGCCAAAGGCCATTCAATGCAGATCGCTTCATGCCTTCCTTGTGCTTAAAACTGTTCCCCTCAGCACCTTTGAATGACATTGTACCTTCCTTGGTTTGGCTTCAAAAGTCTTCCATAAATTGTTCCTACTTAGCCAATTTTTTTTTACCATAACTTATTTGTATTTGTTATGTTTTGCAAAATTTCTCCAACTGCCAAACAAAATTGTCATCATTTTGTTACTATTGAAAAATTTAGCTTAAGACAAAAAAAAATTTTAAAAACCCCTGGATTTATTTACTTTATATTAGAAAATAAGCTAAGGTTAAGTATATTTATTTCAAATATAACTGAATACATACAATGCTTTTCTACTGTTAAAATTATTCATAATTAATATGATTTTGCCCCAAGCTACTTGCAATTTGTCTTGCAAGTTAATTAATTGGCCTGTTTGCTCTGTGAGTTGTTTTTGCTTTTTTAGCTACTTAGTGTATGAAATGCTGCTATAGATGCCTGGAAATGTTATTCAGTGCAGTGTGATTTTTTTTCCTCTTTTTTCAGTTGGGAGCAGAAAGTGCTGACAGCATTGGTGCTGTGCTAAACAGCAAGGAAGAGCAGAGAGAAATTGCTGAAACAAGAGAAACTTGCAGGTCAGTCAAAGAATTGGTCCTTTTTTTTCTTTTATTGACGTATTAGTATTTTCAAAGGATCATTGTTTTAATAAATATTACGTGTTGTTACCAAAAAGCCTTAAAATTAGGACTTTAGAAACGATAGTTTTTGTCAATTTATGATATACTTATAAATTCAAAATAGGGTGTCAGTAAGCTTATATACCAGAAATAATTACATATTTCTAAAATGCTTACAGAAGAAAATATAGTTTACTTTAATAGTAGTATTTTTGGAGACCTGGTGTGGTGGCCCAGTGGCTAAATCCTCACCTTGCGCTCCCAAGATCCCATATGGTCGCTCCTTTATGTCCTGGCCGTTCCACTTCTCATCCAGCTCCCTGCTTGTGGAGTGGGAAAGCAGTGGAGGATGGCCCAAAGCCTTTGGACCCTGTACTCACGTGGGAGACCCAGAAGAAGCTCATGGTCCTGGCTTTGGATCGGCTCAGGCTTGGCAGTTGTGACCACTTAGGGGGTGCACCAGTGGATCGAAGATCTTTCTCTTTGTTTCTCCCCTTTGTAAATTTAGTCTACCTTTCAAATAAAAATAAATAAGTCTTTAAAAGAAAAGTAATACATTTTTGTATAGGAAATTGTTTCAGAATTTTGTCAGTATTCTAGCTGTTAATCTGGATACTAATTTTGCTCAGGACAGATTAAATTATATCTAATTACATATAGAAGCTTCTTGATGCATAATATGAGACTTTTTTTTTGTAGTAATACATCCCTTACAACAGCTTGTTTTCTCATTTGGTTGCTTTCTTGTACAAGTACAGCATTGCCAGTTAATAAGGTTTATGATTTTGGATTTATCAACTGGGTAAATAAGAACTTACTGCTCAATCTGGGAAAATTTGTATTTTTCTGCTGTTATCTACTGTTTAGTGTTAGTAGGATGTACGTGCGTCCATCTGGTGTATATTTATGTGTGATAGTTATATTTGTTTTCAGGGCTTCCTATGACACCTCCGCTCCCAGTGCAAAGCGTAAGTGCTTAGAAGAAGGAGAGACAGATGATGACAAAGTAGAAGAATATAAGGCAAGTAGGGAGTGGGATACCATGATCAAGAAGAGATCCTGGGCAGCCACCGTCATGGCTGTCTCCGTGCTGTATGCCGTAATCGAGTGCCAGGGTGGAGTTCCAGGCCTGCTCCTGATTCCAGCTTCCTGCTGAGGTGTGCCCTGGGAGGCACTGGGGATCTCCTCAGGAATTCGGCTTTTATCACCTACTTGGGAGGCCTGGATTGAGTTCAAGGCTTTTAGCGTCTTCTCTCATCTGATGTGGGTGTCTGGGGAATGAACAGTGAGTAGGAGCTTGCTCTCTGTCTCTTATGCTCTATCGAATAGATTTTTATAAAGGAGTTGTTTTTTAATTTAATTTTTTAAATTTTTATTTATTTTTTATTTTTTTTTAAGATTTATTTTTATTATTTTTTCCATTGGAAAGGCGGATATACAAAGAGGAGAGACAGAGAGGAAGATCTTCCGTCCAATGATTCACTCCCCAAGTGAGCGCAACGGGCCGATACTATGCCGATCCGAAGCCAGGAGCCTCTTCCGGGTCTCCCACGCGGGTGCAGGGTCCCAAAGCTTTGGGCCATCCTCGACTGCTTTCCCAGGCCACAGGCAGGGAGCTGGAAGGGAAGTGGGGCTGCCGGGATTAGAACCAGCGCCCATATGGGATCCTGGGCGTGCAAGGCGAGGACCTTAACCACTGAGCCACCGCGCCGGGCCCTGTTTTTTAATTTTAAAAAATGAACAAATCATGGCCTAATCAGCAGAGTAGAATCATTTCTGAAAGTTTGAAGGAAATCCAGTTTCCAAAGTTATAGTTGCAGTATTTAATGGAAAAGAAAGTGTTACGGATCAAAACAACGTACCTCTATTTTTTCGGATTAATTGTTGAGTAACTGTGTTTAATAGAGATCATAAAGCATAGTTTCAGTGTATCACTAGAAGTTCAGTGATGGCACCTAATGCTGCAAATATTCTTGTGTGCTGTACTTCGAAGTATGCTAATATATAACTTAAATGTTTGTCTATTTTATTATGTTGAACCATATATAATTATAATATCATACTTTTGACTTACAAAAATAGCAATTTTGTATGATTCAACCTGAAAGAAATAAAATAAGCCCCCCAGAGATTATATCTTTCATGACTCAATCTGTCTTCTTACATGCAGGTTGTTATAAATGAGATAATTGAGGCTAGACTAGTCAGTAGAGTGTTAGTAGTTACAGGTATTTATTATTCATGGTAGTGAAGTTTTTATTTTATTGTAAACATCAGGCAGTTGGAACCAGTAATAATAAAGCAAAACCCCCGGGTTTGGCTTTAATGCCAGTTTTGAGAACAGTCATTCACGGGTAGGAAAAGAAAACAGTGTTAAGATACAATAGAGAGATAACTTCTAACCATTACATGTTTCCATCATCTTTCTTTTTCAAGGATGAATTAGAAATGCAACAGGAGGAAGAAAATTTGCCATATGAAGAAGAGATTTACAAAGATTCTAGTACTTTTCTTAAGGTAACATTAGTGATCTTCACATCTTTTAGTTCTTTCTGTTTTAAGCTCTGTATTGCCTAAGAAGATTTTAAATACTCACTTTCCTTCAAGATCTTTTCAGTGATTGAGAGATCATTCTAATAAGATAAAAGTCATTATTTATGAAACATTCATTTTATATTTGGCTATCTAAATTGAGTAGTGGTGTATTAATAGCTGTTGATGAACAATGCGGACATTTTTACTTGTGTTTTCAATGTTTAAAAAATCTGTATTTCATATGGTTTCATGATTTAAAAAAAAAAGAAGTTTAAAGTTAATATATTCATCCTTGGAGAGCATGCTGTTCATTTCGTTTTCCCTGTTGCTTTAGGGAACACAGAGCTTGAATCCCCACAATGACTACTGCCAACATTTTGTAGACACTGGACACAGGCCTCAGAATTTCATCAGGGATGTAGGTAAGTCACGTTTCTGTGGGATGCGCCATTACTAGTTCTGGATTACACTGATGTAGTTGATCCATTTTGTGTATTATTTCTAACCAAATTACTTTTTCTGAGCTTGATACCCTCTCTGCTGTCCTGGTATGCCTCCCTTTACCATAGCTGCATTACTCTTTTATCTTTTTTTTAATTCTTGTAGCTCCAGTTTGGTTCTGTGCCTAGTCTTGTATTTTGAATGGCTTTAATGAGATAATTTGTATATGACTCAACTAATCCACTTAAAGACTATGGTTTGCTGGGTTTAGTATATTCACAGAGTAATGCAAATGGATATTTTATATATATACATATAAATTAAGATTTACTTGTTTTTATTGGAAAGGGAGATATACAGAGAGGAGGAGAGACAGAAAGAAAGATCTTCAGTCCTCTGATTCCTCCCCAGGTGGCCACAATGGCCAGAGCTGAACTGATCTGAAGCCAGGAGCCAGGAGCCACTTCAGGGTCTCCCATGGTGGTGCAGGGCCCCAAGGCTTTGGGCCGTCCTTTGCTGCCTTCCCAGGAGCTGGATGGGAAGTGGAGCTGCCGGAATATGAGCCTGTGTCCATATGGGATCCCGGCATGTGCAAGGTGAAAACTTTAGCTGCTAAGCTACAGGCCGGGCCCAGAAATCCTAGGTCTTAAACTTAAAAAAGAAAAGAAAAAGCTGTTTGAGTTGTGTGTTGATTGTATTGTTTTCTTGGGGAATATCATAATCTTTGAATATTAACTTCAGTTGCAATGAAATACTAATTGACACTTTGTTCCTCTCAGGGTTGGCTGATAGATTTGAAGAATACCCTAAGCTGAGGGAGCTCATCAGGCTGAAGGATGAGCTGATCGCCAAGTCTAACACGCCCCCCATGTAAGTGGTCTGTGCACTCACCTGCTCTCTGGGCCGACTCGGGCTTCAAGTGTTCGCTTCTCTTCTGCTCCTTTTCAGAATATGCTTAGCACCTGTGTAAGGTTCACACACTCGATTACATGACCCCTTCTGTATGATAAATTTGAAACTCTGGAGCTAAGGGTACAGTGGGTGCTCATTGATATTTGTGTATGTGTATTTTCCAGATCATTAGCTTGAAGTGCTGCTAAATATTTTTTTCTTCATAGAAAACCATTTATGTTTCCATTGTTCTTGATGCTCTTTATAATTTGTTTAAAATATTTTTAAATAACTTTGTCACAAATTTATGAAGAATGTGTAAAGAACTCAGGTGAAGGAAAGAAAACAAAAATTAGTGATAACTTAACATCCTGAAATACCATTTGTGACAATTTGGAATGTAATTTGAACCATGGAATGTTTTCCTCAGAAATATATGTAAGGTCCTTAAAATGATGGAATGTTTATTTCACATGTAACTTATTTTCAATGCTTTCTATATTTAATGAAATGTAGCCTGTTAGTCATTAGAAAAACCTCAAACGAATCTCAATGTGTGGGGAAGTCTAAGTATACCCTAAACTCGATGTGTTTAAGGATACTTTTGGGTCAGGAGCTTGGCCTGGTCAGTAAGCAGTTAGATAGAATGCCCTGTCTCCCATCAGAGTGCCTGAGTTCCAGTCTCAGTTCCAGCTTCTTGCCGGCACAGACTGGGAAACAGCGGGTAATGACTCAGGTAGCCGAGTCTCCTGTGCCACTGTGGCCGGCCTGGTCCCAGCTTGTGCAGAATCTTTGGGTGTGGATCAAACCTCTCAAATAAAATACTTCCATGCTGTGTGAAAATAATTTTTCATTAAAGGTTAGTAATGTTAAAAGACTATTAATTAAAATTTTTATTCATGAGTAAAGCTGGTTAAAGAAACTATATTTAGAAATGATTTTTTAGGAGGAAGTATTTGAAATTTACAGAGAAATAGTCTGTGTTCTAACTAAACAATTGAGGGGAAAAAACAGTATAACATTTATTAGAAAATTAGAGAACAATAAAAAGAGGTTCCAAGACTCATATCTTGATCTGAATTTTTGTTATTCAGAGTATATTTTGGATATCCATGAGGAATCAGATGATGTTATCTTTGTAGTGTTAATTAAGGCCATGTCCTAGGAGAGCACTGGTAGATGGTTTAATGCTTTCACTAAAGAAAGCAGATCTCTGTGAAAGGATACTTAGTAGTTAGCTTGTAATTCTTTATAAATCATGTCACACTTGGAAATCTCATTTTTATGTTTTAATCCAATAGGTACTTACAAGCAGATATAGAAGCATTTGACATCAGAGAACTAACCCCAAAATTTGACGTGATTCTTCTGGAACCTCCTTTAGAAGAATATTACAGAGAGACTGGTATCACTGCTAATGAGAAATGCTGGACTTGGGATGATGTACGATGAAACTTGCTGCATTGCAGTGAATCTGTTTTTCAAGTGAAAATGCTTATTTGATCAGAATATGAGATTAAAGTATTCATACGTCTGTAGGGATTATAAATACAAGATTATGGTATTATTGAAGCTGAAGCTTGAAGGTGCATTGACACATATTTAGTTTGATTCTTTCCTTGGTAGATTATATGTGTGTCAGTCAAGATTCGCAGTACCATTTGGAGTCCTTGGCTATATTGGTAGAGAAACCTAAAAGCAGGCAGAATGACTGATGGCTCATTCTGTATTTGACTAGTTCCAGTCAATAGAAATGTGTTGTGTTCATGCTGTATATGCACTTATGCATAAAACCGTAATTTATTTTTTAGGACTCTTAACAGTGTACATAAAAAGAATACATATATATGTTATTATAATGTAACTGTTGTGACAAAGTTATATTTTCCTAAATATATTAAAATAATAAATAAGCAAGTTAGTGCAGTCAGTTATAGCAGTGCCTATTTTTACTGGCCAGCAACAAAAATAAGAAATACTTATTAAGTACCACTTGTGCTAGGTGTTGGATATTCAGAGGAGTGAGATTTAGTACTTACACAAGTGGCATATGGTTTAAAGGGATTGGAGATTGATTCAAACCAGAAGTTGCATTACAATTTTGTGGGTTTTATAATATCAAATTAAATAAGCTGATAAGAGAACAACTGACCAAGCCTATGGAGTGTGGGGTATTTGAACTTGGGGGATATGGCACTTAAACAGTAGAAGAGATGATCTGGAATTTGCCAGGGAAGGAAAAATGTGGGACAGGGATTGCAAGGAGAAGGAGCAGCAGGACAAATGGGTGAATGGGTGCAGAGGTAAACTACAACATCTGGTCTGTCGGGCCAGCAGAGGGTGGTCTGTATAGACTGGTGCTGAAACACAGGTTTGGATTCTTTTCAGCTCCTGTTTTAAGACCTTAGATCTTTTTCTGAACACATTAATCTGTCTTAAAAGTTGTCTTTGAAACCTTTGAAACGTCTTTAATGTCTTTAAAAGGTGTTAACCATTTAGTAAGGTGAGTGGATGCCAGAGTAGAATGAAGGAAGCCTAGAGGTGGGAGAGCAGATAGAAACCATTTCTGGTAAGCTGGTTCTGAGACGAAGGGCCTCTGAACTACACTGTGTAGTAGTAGTAAGAATAGAAGCAAGGATGATAAATCCAGTAATATTTATGGAATGGATCTGGTAGTTGGGATGAGGGGCAGAGTCAGCGATAACTCAAAATTCTGTTGGGGGTGGTAACTGAAGGAGACTGAATTACAGAGGAGCAGGGTTAGAGCAATTAGGTGGTGTTGGATATGTTCATTTTCAAGTTCCCATGAGCCAGTCAAGCAGAAGAGGTAAGAAGAGTGTGATACTCAGGGACAGTTGGATCTCAAATAACAAATTTTAAAGAGTTAGTATATTAAACCCAGATAAATAGCCCAAGGGACATGGGTAAAAATGTGAAAAAGACTGGGTTAGAAATGAAAGAGGAAGTGGAAAGCGTGAGTGTTCTGGGAACTAAAGAAAGGGCATTTTGTTAAGTATGACCAGTGATAATCCAGGGCCGGGAAGGGGTGAGGTGAGGAAAGGCCTGCCCCATAACCCCGCTGTGTGCTGAGAAACTGCTTTGAGTCCTGGTGCCCTTGCGAGTTCCTTACAGTCACTGTTCTTTATAATATTTATCTTTTGAGGTTTACCTCCATTTCCCGCTGTTTGGTATTTTTGCTATCAGCGTTGGTATGCCTGGTACTTTATTTACATTTTTGATGGATCATTTTAAAATAGTTTTTGTCTTTCCTGTTTGGATGATCTGTGCTTATTGTTGATACATCAAGTTATACACTGTATAGCTTTCCCAAGGCTTAATGTTCTTGATATTTGTTGTTGATTTTTTCAGATGAGCCCTACAGGTTTACACTCCTTCCAGTACTATTACACATGTATGTTAATGTGTGTTACTGTCATCAAATAAGTAACTTTTTTTGAATTAAAAAATGCTGTGGTTTTATTTAGTTCCATTTGTTTGGGTACAAGTTAAGGTTTTTTTTGTAAATAGGCAAATTTTCACTTGAACAATGGTCACTAAAGTTCTCTAAGGAAATGGGGAAGGATATCTTGCACATTGGTTGTTTCTATACTCATTTGTGAGAGAATGTGGGATTCCTAAGATGTAGAGATTTGATTGAGGAGCATTTTTTTTAAATATAACACACTTTTTACTTACAAACAAGGCAAACAATTATTATTTTGGCACTTCAGACTTAATTAGGATTAGATCCTAAACTGTTCTATAAATACTTGAGATTACAGTCCTTCCTAAACATTTGCTGTGATGTTTTAATTTTGTCCCTGACTTTGGGCTCATTTCACCTCTTTTCATTTGTTTCTTTTCCCATAAATGATAAAATGTTGCTGTAGAATATATCATGCTCCATCTTGTAAAATTCTGTAAATGGAAAAATAAACACAAAATTCTGTGGCATTTTCTCTAAGCTGCATGGAGCCATATGCAGATGCCTATGTCATTTGTACACATAAAAGGATAAAACAGTGGTAGAAAGGTAATATAAAAGGTAAAACTTGTTCTTATTACATTTTCTAGTAGAAATTAGTACATTTAAGGAACGTATTAGTAAGAATCTTGATAAGCCTTGAGGTTGTTCTTTTGAATTTAGAATGAATGGGGAAACAATGGTTTTATGCAATTTTAATTTGTTTTCTTCTAGATTATGAAGTTAGAAATTGATGAGATTGCAGCCCCCCGATCATTTATATTTCTTTGGTGTGGTTCCGGGGAAGGATTGGACCTTGGCAGAGTGGTAAGATGATGCTACAGTTTAAATCCATAAGAAAACAGTAATGATGTGTTGCATAGTAAGTTTGAAGATTAATGTCATTCAGTATTTTGCTTCTTAAATAGTTCTAAAATATTCAGAAAAAAACATTAAAAAATATGAAAAAACTGTTCTCTTTAGTTAGTTAACTAGCACTGAAAGTGGACCAAGTATTTTCACAATAAAAATTATTGCAACTTGAAAGAGAAGTCTTGAGATTTGAAGCTAAATTATAGCACAATGAACTCCTTCATGTTATTTTTTTTCTTAAAGATTTATTTATTTTTATTGGAAAAGCAGATTTTCAGAGAGAAAGAGACAGAGAGAAAGATCTTCCATTTGGTGATTCACTCCCCAAATGGCTGCAACAGCCAGAATTCAGCTGATCCATAGCGAGGAGCTTCTTCCAGGTCCCCCCTGTCGTTGTAAGTTCCCAAGGCTTTGGGCCATCCTCTGCTGCTTTCCCAGGCCACGAGTAGGGAGCTGAATGGGAAGCAGGGCTACCAGGACACAAACTCATAGGAAATGCAGTGCTTGGAGGTGGAGGATTAGCCAGTTGAACCATTTAACTGACACCCATCATGTCATTGTTCTTTATGAATGTCAGTGGAATGTTATTCTAAGTAGCACTGGTACTTGAATTTCAAATGAAGTCAAATCCAAATTGGAAAACACATAGTTTGAATAAACAAATGACAGTGACAAAGAAGTTATAAACCCTCAATTTATTTTAAGTACTTAGATTTAGTTGTGTTTCAGTGCTGTGCTTGATCTTCCTTTCTTCTCTCCTTCCTGGGACATGTACTTCTTTTTTTCCCACTTTACCTGTCAGTTGGCTGGGGATAGGAATTCTTGTTTTATTCTTGGCAGCTCGCCAGCACCTGTATCTACACAGACCCTGAAAATGCCCCTCTGTGCTGGTTTCTCTGGGGTTTGTTATAAGTTTGTAGATCACAGATTCTGGGACACATCTCTAGTTTCAGAACTCTATAAACATGCAAGTTGAGTTTTGCCCAATAAAGAGATGTACATAACAATTTTAAGTTTGGATTTTTTGCTTTTTATCAGCATTAAATATAAATAAAGTTTTATAGGCTCTCATTTGAAAAGTTATTACAGATTTTCAACAGTATTTAATTTTGTTGAGGTAAGAAATTGGAGTGGCAGAAATCCAGTTGTCTTGTGCATTCTTTTGTGATGAGAGAGGATCTGATGTCTGTTATTGACATTAAAAGGTAATACATGTTGAGAATCCCTTGGGACCAGAAATGTTTAAGATTTTGGAGATTTGGGGTTTTAAAATGCTTCCATAGGCTTTAGCAGTTGAATGGCTCAAGTCCAAAATCTGAAATGCTGCAAAATTTAAAGCATTTTGAGAGTTCTTCTAGCATTCAAAGAATTTCAGTGTTTGGGACATTTTGGATCTCACATTTAATTATTAGTGATACCCAATTTATATTACAGTTTGATAGAATGAGATCCTATGTTTTGATGTTTTGCTTAGATTTATTTATTTTTATTGGAAAGGCAGATTTACAGAGAGAGACAGAAATATCTTCCATCTGCTGCTTCACTCTCCAAGTGGCTGCAATGGTTGGAGCTGAGCCAATCAGGAGCCAGGAGCTAGGGGCTTCTTCTGGGTTCCCCATGTGGCTTCAGGGTCCCTAGGCTTTGGACCATGCTTCACTCACTGCTTCTCCTGGCCATAAGCACGGAGTTTGATGGGAAGTGGAGCAGATGGGACAAGAACTGGTGCCAATATGCAATGCTGGCATTTGTAAGAGGAGGATTTAGCTGCCGTTGTGCCAGGCACCCTGTTACTTGATTTTGAACTATATATAGTATACAAACATTCAAAGGATATATGAGGAGACTTGATTATTACGAGGGAAATGTTTATTATGTAAAGAAAAAAATCTATGCAAGGGTTTCAAAATGTTTTGCACTAAAATAAACTCCTTTTTTTTTTTAGTTCTGTCTACAGATTTTTTTTTTATTTGAAAGAGTGATGAGAAAGGGAGAAATAAGACAAAGGGATCTTCCATCCTCTGGTTCATTTCCCAGATGCTCAGAGTAATGAACTCTGGGCCAGCCTGAAGCCCAAAGCAGGAAATCCATCGAGGTCTATCACGTAGGGGTGGCAGGAATGGCAGCTTCGGGCCGTCATTTGCTACCTGCCAGGTGCACTAGCAGGAAGCTGAATCAATCAGAGGCAGGACTCAAACTTAGGCACTCTGATATAGGATACAGCTGTATCCTGCCCATGCAGCAGCTTAACGTGCGCACCACACTACCTGCCTCACGACTAAAGGCTGGCATTTCTTAAATTTCTCCACTAAAACAAAATCATTGTGACACTTGGGAATTTACTGCCTTCAATCTCAAAAGTTTTTAAATTGGGCCTCCAGCACAGTAGCCTAGTGGCTAAAGTCCTTACCTTGCATGTGCCAGGATCGTATATGGGCACAGGTTCTAATCTCAGCAGCCCCACTTCCCATCCAGCTCTCTGATTGTGATCTGGGAAAGCAGTGGAGGATGGCCCAAAGCCTAGAGACCCTGTACCCAAGTGGGAGACCAGAAGAAGCTCCTGGCTGCTGGCCTCAGCTCAGCTCAGCTCTGGCTGTTGTGGCTACTTGGAGAGTGAATCAGCAGATAGAAGTTCTTCTTTTCTATCTCCCCTCCTCTCTGTAAATCTGACTTTCAAAAAAAAAAATTAAAAAAAAGTTTTTTAATGCTGGTTGGCTATTTGAAGATTGTTTAAGCACTTCTTTTCAATTTAAAAAATTGCTTTTAGTGTTTACGCAAGTGGGGTTACAGAAGATGTGAAGATATTTGTTGGATTAAAACCAATAAAAACAATCCTGGGAAAACTAAGACTTTAGACCCAAAGGCCGTCTTCCAGAGAACAAAGGTATTGCCTTCATTATTTTGTTTTTCTTATCCCTGTTATTTTCTCTCATACTTTTCCAAGTCTCTATAAATTGTCCAGTTACTTTTGTGGAATAGTCATTTTCTTAAGAGTTGTAAAAATAGCCTTGAATGTTACAGGAATACATGCACGTTGATTTGAAAAGGCTTTATTGAAGATCTTGGATCAATGTCCAGTGTCACCATGCTGTATATTCCTGTGTGTCCCAGGCTGCTGTACTAACACGTGACCTAGGGGCTTTTAGTACTCCGATATTGAGAATTTTACTTTTGCTAGGCTCAGAAAGAAGGAATGAAAGCAGAATTCATAGCTGGCCAGTTTAGAGACCTATTTCTCTTTTTAATTCCTATGCAATAACCCCTAAGAACTTTTATCTTGCTGGCATCAGTTTACTATGTAGTGAGCTGCTGCTTTAACAGTTTACTATGTAGTGAGCTGCTGGTGGGAGGATCTGTCCTGTTCAGACTGTCAGGGAGGATTTACGCCCACATAAAGCTTCCATAACATTCCAGAAGAGCAGGATCTGAGGAGCTTCTGGACTGGTAAACCTGTGGAGTTGCAGGGAGAATGGCTCTCGGGCTCTCCTCCCCCACTGTCCTACCCCGCCCAAGTATCTCTCCCATCTGGTGATTCTTGAGTGGTAGCTTTTTATACTAGACAGGTACTAATGATTAGAGCACTTTCCCGAATTCCATGAGTCACTCTAGCAAGTGGTGACGCTTGAGGGGCAGGGAGCAGGTCATTGGACATTGATTGAAAGGCTACCAGTCAAAAGCACTGTGACAGCCTGGACTTGGGATGCGTATCTAGACTTGGGGGCTAGACCTGTGGGACTGAGTCCTTAGCCTGTGAGGTCCTTGGTAACCAGGTGTAGATTGTGTCAGAATTGAGCTGAATTCTGGTGTCTGAGAAAAAGTAGAGAATGACTTGGTGAGTGAGAAAGCCACCCCTCTGGTGTGCTGCTGTTGAGTGCGACTGTGCAGCTTTCTTGTCCAGTAGTCTTCTATACTCAGAGGTACAGTGCCCACAAAACTGCATCCCAAGGATTCAGAAGACGGAGACGAGTGTTTGGAATGGAGGGAATCAGAAGTGAAATGTGACAAAACTGTTGCTAAGGAGTTGATTGTTCTGCTCTTCTTCAGGAACACTGCCTAATGGGGATCAAAGGAACGGTGAAGCGTAGCACAGACGGGGACTTTATCCACGCCAATGTTGATATTGACCTGATTATCACAGAGGAACCTGAAATTGGCAACATAGAAAAACCTGTAGAAATTTTTCATATAATTGAGCATTTCTGTCTTGGTAGAAGACGCCTTCATCTGTTTGGAAGAGATAGTACAATTCGACCAGGTACCACTTCAGTTTCAACGTTATGCTATGAATCTTTGAAGTATGAGTATTATATCTTTTTTGTTAAGATATAATGTTGCTTTATGTATTTGTATCATATTTGTTTGGAAGGCAGAGTTACTCAGTGAGGGAGAGACAGAGAGATTGATCTTCACCTGCCTGTTCACTCCCCAAATAGCCAGAGCTGGGCTGGTGGGAAGCCAAGAGTCAGGAGCTTATTCCGGGTCTCCGTGCAGGTACAGGGTCCCAAGGCTGTGGGCCATATCCCTGGGCCCAATCAGGGAGCTGAATTAGAAGTGGAGTAGCCGGGACTTAAATTGGTGCCCATGTTGGATGCTGGCACCATAGGCAGCTGTTTTCTCCATGACACCATATTATCAATCTCTTGTATCCTTTTTTTGCTTATGTCAAACATGAGCAGTGTTTGCTTCATAGCAAAATTGAGAGCAAGCTCCTGAGATATGCCATCCAAAAGTGGACAGGAATGTGGAACAATGGGTACTGTGACCGCTGTTCCAGGAGCTGGGGCTGTGCTGGCATCTCATATATTCTCTGCTTCTGTTGTCATTCCCACCCCCGGCCTTAATGGGATATTTCTCACAGCTGGGGAACCTGTACTGACCCAAGTCTGCTTTCCATGAGGCTTCCCTCATGGTGTGTGTCTAGAGGTTTAGACAGATGGGCCAGGGCCTGCCTGTCCCACTCCGGGCTCTCACAGTGCTCCCCGTCCTGAGCCCCCCCACCTGCAGTCCCTGGCACTCAGTCTTATTACTGTCTGTGGGATTCTGCCTGTTGCAGAATCTCACATGGTTGCACTCGTGCATAGGTAGTATGTGGACTTTCCCCATCAGCCTCTTTCATTAGTCATTTCCTTTACGCTTGTTCCATGTCTTTTCATGGCTTGAAAGCTCCCTTTTGACTCATTCCAATTTCTCGTTGTAGCCAGTTACCCATTTACCTAGTGAAGGATACCTTTCTTGCTTCCCAGTTTTTGGAAGAAAACTAGTGTGAATATCTTTTTAAGGTTTTTGTGTGGATCCAAGTTTTCAGCTCCTTTGGGGAAAAACGATAGACAGTGATTGCGGGAGTGTGGAGGAAGGATCATCAACAGAAAAGTTACCAAAAAACGTTTCTCTGCTGTATTGCAGGCTGGCTCACAGTTGGACCAACGCTGACAAACAGCAACTACAATGCAGAGACCTACGCGTCCTATTTCAGCGCCCCCAATTCCTATTTGACTGGATGCACAGAGGAAATTGAGAGACTGCGACCCAAATCTCCACCGCCCAAGTCTAAATCTGATCGGGGAGGTGGTGCTCCCCGGGGTGGTGGAAGGGGTGGGACTTCTGCTGGCCGGGGGCGAGAGAGGAATCGCTCTAACTTCCGAGGGGAGCGAGGCGGCTTCCGAGGCGGCCGTGGAGGGGCGCACAGGGGCGGCTTTCCCCCTCGGTAGGCCAGGACCCTGTCCACTGACTGCCCTCCTGCCCTTGATTGCAGTTTGAATTTCTAGTGACAGACTTCCTTCAGAACTCCCTTCCAGCTCGCACGATGTTTTCAGTTCTCTGAACAGCCAGCAATGTCTTTCTTGGTTTCCCTTGGGGTAGTCAAACTCTGGATTTGCTACGAATGGGGAGTGTGTCTATTAAGCTCAGGTCATGGAACACAGTGGGACAACGCAGATTGCTTCGTCTCCAGAGACAAAACTTGTTCTGATGGACTCTTAACTGCAAGGACTTTGGCTTTTTGAAGTAGGTGACCAGGGAAGAAGTTGGCAGTGGGTGCTGTCTCCTGGGCTCCTGGAGCTGATCAGGCCTTGGTGGGTGAAGCTGAGACAGGCGGCAAGTGGTGGTCAGGGCGGTGGTGTTCCCCTGAAGAGGCTGTAAAGACAGTGGACCTTTTCTTTTTCCTTTCTTTCTTAAATCTTAAGTAAACTCAAAAGACAATTTGGGCACTGAAGAAATTGAGGGACTGTGAACAAAATCACCTCCTAAAATCTAAATCTGAGGGGGAGGTGAAGTTCTCGGGCCCCGGGTAAAGGAAAGTTGGAACTTAGTTGACAAATTTCATCTTCTCTCCACCTGCCCCCTGGATAAACCAGTGAGAAAGCTCAGCAGCAGCATTTCAACTGTGGAACCGTATGTTAGTCAAGATCCTCATCTTCCTAAGCAGCAAACAAAGACAAACATCCAAGTACTAGAGCTCTGCTGTGAACCTGCTTGGGTTGACCCTCAGAGCAGGTTCATGATCCTCGGCAGAAGTCAGAGGCAGCAGCAGAGACAATTGGTTATCTGGTGCTTGGCTGAAACAGTTTGGGGAATTAAGTACTTGATGAGGCAACCCTATACATCTTTAAATTAACCTTGTTTTGGAAGAAATAGTAATATGCAGGCACTTACAGAAAGCCCTGACCTCAGAGTACAGTTTGGAAAATGGGAGTGAGCTTGCCATTTATTACTGCCATCTGGGAGGCTGCTAAGGGGCCGGTTGTTCAGATCAGCTAGTTGTGTACGACTCTGTGTTGTCATTTCTCTTTCTATATGGTAACTCATGTTTTAAAGGAATATGTGAATGAAATAATACCATTGCTGTTCTTGAAAACTGCATTTTTTATTTTGCTAGGATTTTTCTAATGAAAACTTAAAGCCTTGAAACTGGAGAGTTGGTTTTCTTTGAGTAACCTTGCTGTTCCACGTGCAATCAAGCGAGAAGCAGACTCACCTCTGGGTCTCCAGTGCATTATAGTGCTCATCCTGTCCTCCTAACTCCAGTCAGGTCACATCGTCAGTATTAGCAGATAATAACAGTATAAGGCTGGACACCTTAACAGCCCCTGATGACTGCTTTTTATAGTTTTTTTAAAGATTATGGGCAGAGTTAGAGGGAGAGAGGTCTTCCATCAGCTTGTTTGATTCCCAAATGATATCAAGAGCTGGGTGTGGCCCAGGCCAGAGCTAGGAGCCTCACCTGGATTGCCCATGTGGGTGGCAGGGGCTCGGTGTCTTGTTCTTTCCTAGAAGAACAACAGCTAGGACTGTGCATGTATTTATGAGATAATCTGGAAAAAAGAAAGCGCTAATATAAGCCTGTCAGCTGACTCCCTCCCTGAATCTTCAGCTCCTTCCTGAGCAGGTCAGGACGGCCCCAGAAGCCCTTTCAGGTTCAAGCAGAAAGCTTGACCTGCCAGTGAAAGCTTCCGCTGCCTGGGCCTGTGCTGACTGCCCTGCTGCGTGGGGCTCTCGGCACCTGCTTTTATCCTTTACTGTAGAAAGGCAAGGAGAGCGTGCTGTCCGATCCCTAGACACATGGGGATGGGAAATGCTCACTAAGCAGTCCCTCACGCCTCTGCTTGCCCCCACATTTACAACAGCCTCTACAGTTCTCTGCCTTCCTGCTGATGTGTTGCTGCTGCAAAAGAGGACTATGGTTTTTTTTTTCCTTAATACAACGTTATTGGGGCCAATGCTGAGAGGCAGTACCAAAAGGAGAATTTTCTAGGGAAAAGTTCACTTACACTGTTCTAACAAACAGAACCGCTCATCAGTGCCTGCTTGGGGGAAAGCAAGCCTTTCCTCAGTGTCTCAGCAGAGGCCAGAATCCCCCTTACACAGGAGACGGGCATTTCTCTTGCCCAGTAGGTAGCATTACCACTGGGGTTTTCACCAAAAATCCACATAGTTGTTTCCTCTCCAAAGCACTGCTTTTTCTGGTGGAAACTGATAGGTGTTTCTAGAAGGAAGGTTTAGACTCTTTAGTGTCTGTCATCTGATGGAATTGAAGTTCACGTTCAGATTACCTTTCCATGTTGAAAGAAACTGGAGGCTTTGGTTTGTAACTTACAGCATCTCCATCTACAGGGGCCTCACTGGTGAGTTTATCTCTGGAGCACCTGTTACCTGGACATTTCTTTTTTCTTTTTTTTATATTTTTTTGGACATTTCTATAGTACGTGAAGAGAGCTGCTTGAATTTTAGGATTTCACCATGGTATTCTTGGCATAGCAGCAGCTACACTTGGAGGAGTCAGCTTGTCCTACTTTTCAAGATTCTTAGCAAGTTTAATAGCATTTACAGTGTGTTGGGCACCATTCTAAGTCCTTTACATTTATTCAGAGGTTTCTAACCTGCCCTCGATCACACAGGCTACCATGGAAGATTTAAGTGTCTGAGTATATTTGTTATTTTACTTCATGACATCTACTCATGTGTAAATAGACCTTACTGATGATGTAACAACACACGAGGCACTACAGTGCTTCAGGGCAGTGTCTCCATGACTGAAGAGGCTGGCCATAGGATTAGGGTTGCTGTAAGAATAAGTGTACAGATATTCACCTGACATATGGTGTGGTTCTTGGGAAGTGGTGGTACGTATGCAAAATGCTTTTAGTTTTGTTACTATTCATATCATTAGTAACAAAGCCAAACAGGCCAGGCACACCTGTGCTGCACCACTCCAGGTCACTCTCCTATATTCATTCATGTCAGCCGCATGTAGCTGTTTCTATTTTGCTCACCAGCATATGTTAGGGAACTCGTGCCATGCCCTTTTCGGGCATACTGTCTCTTGTGTCTTCTATATTTACTACCTAAAACTGTGTTTAACAAAGAAAATTTTGTTTTCCTGATTTGCTCTTCGTGATCCATTCAAAGAACTTTTTTTTTTTTGGCCAAGATATTTTGGGTACCATCCTTATTTTGTTTTAGAATTTCAAAATAAATTTTGAAAAGGAATAATTCTACCTGCCAAGTAAGAGTACATGAAGTCATTTATTGATCTTGGTTAAGATCCATTATATACAGGTAGAAACCTTCGATATTGTACAAAGAGCCATCAAGAATATTGATAAAGAGTTTTATAGACAAACAACTGGAAACTTGTTTTAGCATACATAATATATAACTATGGAAAAATGCAGAACACAAATTGTTCCATCAGATAGAGTCCAAGATTAAAAGTCTGCTATGCAAACCTTCAGCTGAGAAATTCAATGGACTTACATGGTTTTAAAAAATTATAATGTAAAAATTAAATTGTTTGCCCTCACTGCAAATGGGAGAGGAACCAAGACGACATCTTTTTCCCAAATCTTTACAGTTTGAAAAATAATTTATATGTCTAGCTCAAAGAAGGAAAACTGATAATGTTTCAGTCCTGTAAACTATGCTCTTCATGAAATGCAAACTACATCAGTTTAAAAAATGACAAAGTTGTGCAATCAGAAATAGACTGTTCCCTTTATGGTACAGTTGTACCCTTGCTGGCTTTGTACCTGAGCACCAGGGCTGAAGTTCTAAATGCCATCCTGGAAGGCCATTCTGAGAATGAACAAGAAATCAAAACTAGTCTGTTATCATCTGCAAAGTTAGGCACCAAGAGGGAGATTGTCTCCTTAGGAATGCAACGTTGGGACAGGGAAGCTTGCATCAATTCAGCAGCTGACAGATCTCCTTGTGAACGCAACAAAGGAAATCCATATAAGACGATCCTCCATAAAGTCCTTTGTCCTCCACCAGGAACTGCCGGAAAACCATCTCTGGCTGCTCTCGCTGCTTCACTATCAGGAGCTGGGGAAAGCAAAGAGTAGTAGAGAGTTAGATATTTTTTCTGAATGCGGCTCGGTTCTGTCCGTTTTGTTTCCATCAAGCCCTGTAACTGTCCTCTGTGTTCACACACAGGAGGTAGATGAGGAGAGCCAGTCAATCGGCGTACAGGGAAGGCTGACTTAAACCGTGAAACCTCAGGAGGACAGTTTTCAGTGGCAACAATGAGACATAAGCAACAGCACCAGGCAGGAAACTGTCACTTGAGCCTTGCAGGACAGAGGCCGACTCAGCACAATCCCTACTGGAGGATCAGGCATTACGACCCACATGTGGCTGGCTGGCAGATGGCTAGGGACTTCTCAAAGGCAGTGGGAGCTTAGGCACAAGTTACTGTAGCGTGGGTTTTTTGTAGGAAATAGGGTCTGATGAAGGTGCAGGAACTGGTAGCACCATGCTGGGATGAAGAATCTAGACAGGAAATGTTGCAAATGTTTAAGTGGGAGAGCATGGTATGGGAATTCAGGGCAGTGGTGGTGCAGACAGTAGACTGGTGTGTGATATGGAGGTTAGCACACTGCGGTGAACTACTCCCTGCTCAGCTCCCTTCTTGAGGGCTCTGCTGCCTGGCACAGTGGCCACAAGCTGCCACATGTGCTATGGAGAGAAAGGAGCCTTGTTCAAACTGAAATTTGATGTGAACCAAAGATACACAATGGAAGCACTAAACTTAGTACAGAAAGGAAGATCAAAAGGACTCCGTAATTGTTTATATTGATCAAAGGTGTAAACGACTGGTATACTGGGTTTCATGAACTATTACTTGTTATGTTTTAAATGTGGCTGCTCCACAATAGGGAATATGTGGCTTGCTTTAGTGGACAGTGCTATTGTAGGGGAAGGTATCCTGGGGGAAGAGGTATGAAAAGGGGACAGGCTGGTTAAGAATAGTGGGTCCACTCTCCACCCCATATTCTCATCTGAACAAGTAGAGGTTGATGTAAATGGCCAGAATTTGGTACTTACTGTGCTGTTGGTTAGCTGAACTGTTCCTGCACAGCAGCGTCCCTCCAGCTGCCTCCTACGTAATTAGGAGGAGCCAAGTTCCCTCTTGTGTGTGTGTGTGTGTGTGTCTGCGGGAGGGGATCAGGGGGTGGGACAGGGTCTGCAGGGAGCAGCCACACCAGCTGCCACAAGGCAGGCCTGTGCAACTGCGACCTGCTCTACCCCCACTTTTGTGTTATAAGTGTTTTTTTTTTTTTTTTTTTTTTTTTAGCTCTCAAGTAGAATTCTATCGACACAGCTTGCTTTTTCCCTTTATGGGTACTTTGGCCTAGGTCCTAAACTTAATGAACTTCAAACTACGGCTCTGACCCAATAAAAATGAGAACAAGTGGTAACTGCTGCCCCCACTACAATTCAGCCAATTCCAAGTGGATTTAGGATGTGGGATATGTTGGCTTTCAGATCTCAGCACAACGAACTGGGAAGTGGCACTGACACATTTCATTTCAACATGGGAAGTAAAACGAGCCCCTGATTGGAAATTTCTCTCAAGAAGGTTAAGATGTGCACCCTGCTGAACCAGAATCAAAGGGCATATTTTTTTGTGTGTGTTTTATATCCTGTGGCCATGAGTGTGCTGCTTAATGTGAACCAGCCTCAGGGATGGGCAGAATCAGACACTGAGGAAAGAAGTACTGGAAGAGCCTGTTCTTCTAGAATTTACTCTCTCTGGGAATGTATGGGGAGTGTTCACACTGCTTATCTGTGGGGTATTTCCTATTGGTGCTAGTCATAGGGCTTCCTGCTGTCCTGTGGTACTCACTGCACAGCCCCTGAAGACGCTTGTGTGCCCCCGATGGGAGGGGCTGACACAATAGGAAATGCATTGAGTCTTGGCAGAAACTCAGGCTCAGTGCAAAGTGACTAACATCCTGGAACTCTGTAACTACTAAACCCCTTACCAAGACAACTCATGCTTAACCCATGGTGCCAACTGCTTGCTTTTGTACATTTATGACTGGTAAGAAACAAGATGTACTAAGTTAGTGATGGAATTCTATCAGATTATCATCATAAAGATATAGATCATTTGTTTTAAAAGTGTA